ACGATGAGTCAGGTTGACTACACCTGAGATGAAAGCACCACAACAGTGTTTCCTGGCCATTAGTGATCTGTAGGGTTCATAACCATGTTGTTGGCCATAAAAATCTCTGTCTTTCAAGTGTACATGCAGGATGTGTATATAAGCTGGGACTATATGGAATGATATGATATCACAGAAGGGGCCATGCAAAAGTGAGGTGTCAGCAGTAAAGTATCAATTCCCAACTCAAACACTTATATCTACATTTGGTTTCTAAGCCCCTTGGACATGGACTAGTTCCTCATGTTATTGACACTGCAACCACATTCTATGTCAATAGTTTTACTACCCCTCATACCTATAAGTCAGTCCTATCAATTGTCTGTCATCTGTCATGATTTGACAGTTTTATGGGATTTCTTGGCTTTTTTGTGACATTTTAGACAGAATATAGTCATATCATGAACCATATATGTATATATGTAGAAAATTACCAGAGGGGGCTTTTCCTGATGACATACATTACCTTTTCGCCCACGAACTCGTCACCTCCGGCTCCATCACGCTCCAGCATTGCCCGACGAACGACATGGTCGCCGACGCGCTCACAAAACCGCTCCCGCGCGCGAAAGTCGAACACTTCGCGCATCTCCTGGGCCTTCGACGTTCCGCTCATCAGGAAACATCCCCTCTGTGAAATAGTATCATAAAGGGATAGAATTGTCAAGTAATTACTAGACTATCCATGTAGATAAAGCTGTATTGGGACCTTTTACAGTATATACCAGCACATACCAGCACAGAAGTCCAAAAACTAGGAAATATGGAAGGTCCCCCTGAGCATTTGTCACATTTTTGGTGAAATGTGCCCAAATATGTGGATTTTTGTTCACTTTTTGGGCATATTTTGGTGATCTGTAACATTCATGAGCCCTCAAATATGATATATTGTGGCTCAAATATGATCATAAACTCTAGACTGTATGTCACATGTTGTTAGATGTCTTCAGATTTTGGTCATTGGTACATGACATTACATGATATTTGTATGCATATATATGATTCAATCTCCTCACCCCCCCCCATGAAGTTCAGCGGAGGTTAGTGCACAAAGCCAGAACAGATGATATATTCAACAAATGCATCACAACAAGCTCTATGTTAATGCTGAGCCAACTGCAGTGTGCGGCTGCAGTGCACCCACCAAGCACGGGGTATCGGGATGTCATCGGAGGGGGGGGGGCAAGAGTAGAGCAGGTCCAAGTCCAAGTTGCGTGAACACGGTCAATTGGACGAGGTCGTCCTTGCGCGGGTCGAAGAGCGGGTGAGGCGCGCCAGAAGCACCACGTCCGAGATCCGCCTATTTGTGGGACGCGCTGGTGGTGATGGCGCGGGGCATACGAGCTCGAGGTGACGCCCGAGATCGCCTCGGCGTGCCGCATCGGGGGCGGCCGCAGGCGCCTGGGACAAGGCGCGGGGCAAGGCTGCCGAGCTGATCTTGAGCCACCGCGAGAATTTGGCGACATTGGCGGAGGGCATGGCGAGTTGCGGGGTGGGAAGGTGACGCGTGGCTGCTGGACGGAGAGCATGGGCGATCGTGCCCGTCTGCGGGGGCGGCACTCGGGCACACTCGGGGACGTCCTTCGGGGGTGGGGCGGGCCGCTTGGACCTGTCACGCGGCGAGGTCGGGGGATGTGGGGGCAGAGCTCAGCAAACAGAGCGACCGCGGGCAGAGCCTGTATGCACTCAGGACCTGCTGCGCAAAGAGCGAGCGCGAGCGCGGTCGCGAAGCCAGGGGCAAGCGCGTTGGCGCAGTCTAAGACGGGTGGGCACAGTGAGGGGCGAGCGCGTTGGCACAGACGGGTCGTGCGCATTGGCGCAGCAGACGTCGGGCGTATTAGCGCCGTGGAGGTGGGCGCGTTGGCGCAGCGGAGACACCGAGCGAGACCGCATTGGCAGCTCACACCCGGGGCTGGGCGGCGGTAGGGGAGGGAAGTTACGCAGAGCGCAACCGCGTTGGCGGCTCGCGCTCGAGGCAGACGGCAGGGGCGGGGGGTTGAAGCAGCGCCGAGCGCGACCGCATTGGCGGCTCGCGCTCGGGGATGGGCAGACGGCAGGGGCGGGGGTGAAAGCAGCACCGAGCGCGACCGCGTTGGCGGCTCGCGCTCGGAGATGGGCAGACGGCAGGCGCGCTCGGGGATGGGCAGACGGCAGGCGCGCTCGGGGATGGGCAGACGGCAGGGGCGGGATAGAAGCTGAGCAGAGCGCGACCGCATTGGCGGCTTGCGCTCGGGGATGGGCAGACGGCAGGGGCGGGGTGGAAGCAGCGCCGAGCGCGACCGCATTGGCGGCTCGCGGCTGACGCTGGGCGGAAGGCGGGCGGGCAGCGGAATCGGCGTCGAGCGCGACCGCGTTCGCGGCTCGCGCTTGGGACCGGGCAAACGGCAGAGACGAAAGCTGAGGGCGGCGGGCGGGCACTTCGAGTGCTGGGGGCGGTTTATGACGGTGAGCGCGGGGACTTGCGCGTTGATGCGCGCACTTGCGAGCGCGGCGCTGGGCGTACTTGACAGCGCTGAGTTGTGCGCACTTGCCAGCGCGGTGGGCTGAGACGGCAACACGGCCAGGTCACGTGACATTTGGATTCGCGTTGAATCTCTAAGTCCGCGTTGGCTACCGTACATGTGTTGCTATGTCCTAGCAGTCCGAGAGTACATACAGATATTTTTGAGCTCATCGAGTTGTTAGTGATAGCTGAATGGGACATGAGACAAGTTAACTATACCTGAGATAAAAGCACCACAACAGTGTCTCCTGGCCATCAGTAATCTGGAGGGTTCATAACCATGATGTGTTAGCTATGGAAATCTCTGTCTTTCAGATGTACATGTAGTATATAAGCTGTTACTATATGGGATGATATGATGTTACAGATGGGGCCAGGCCAGGGTGAGGTGTCAACAGTCAAGTAT